GGTTTTTGCCCACAGCAAGATGACATACTTTTCTTCTCAAGAAATAATGACTTTCCTCACTATTAAATGGCTGTTGAGATTTTTCTTACATTCCCTACCTGCAAAAACCACTGGAGTTAGCCTTTCTTTAGAAAGCTCTTTCTTTAGAGCTACCTCTAGCAGCAGTACTGTTAGCAGTAATGAAAATGGAGCTTTAAAAGAACTTTCATAGCTCTGACTTCCCCCCTTTCTGGCCTTACTGCACCAAAGCCTTTTGCTTGCTTGCTTTCTCAAGGCACTACTTTCCAGGACTGCTCCTGGTGTATTTTCAAGGTGTTCCACAGGCACAGCATCCCCTTTGCCCAAGCACACCAATCCCAGAGGCAGTGAACAGGGATGCTGCCCTTGGTGCAGTGCATCTCTGCAAGTAGAACCGCTCTGCAAACCTGCAGATGTAATTCCACATGGCCTTCACAGAGCATCCCCACAACAATGCTAGTTTTCACCAGTCCCTCAGGTGGGCACTTTAAGGGAGCTTTCACTGTGCACTAAGCCCAAACACCCTGCAGGTTTGTTTTTTTTTTAATATTCTTCTTTTCCTGCTCTCTCTCAATAGCCGTTTTCATGCATCCTTTTAGCCAAATGTTTGGCAGCTGCAAGCAGCTGGATATGAAGACAGGAGCTCCCCTCCTCAGTGGGTGCACTTTGAGCTTCACCCCCACGTCGCTCCCTTCCCCTGCTGGGTATCCAGCAGATAATAATTCCTGCTTAATTTGCAGCTACATCAGTTGCTTATTAGATACCTGAGAACAGAAGGTATCTAATCGAGTTATCCCAGAGCTATCCTGAGATGTGCTTCAGATCACCTATATTTGACAGCCCTTGGTCAGGAAGCCACCACCTGAAATAGGTTCATTACAGGATTTTACCCTCCCATTGATCTTTTTAGGATTGGGGCAGCACAAGTGTGAGCTGAATTACATCCTGCTGTCTGTGGGTTTGGTTTAAGAAGAAACTGTATTGGAAGCTCAAGTGAGACAAAATGATGGGGATGACTTCACAAATAAAGGAGTTGGTATAAGATAGTAGCAGAAAGAGGCTGCATCAATAGATATCTTACTGACAGAGGTAAAATTAAGAATTCTGTTGTGCAGCTTCCTGACCAATTATTGTGCAGTTTAAATTTCCATCTCCTCTTATTTTCCAGCCACTGGGTCCAATAGCAGCCACATCCCTCACTGGCAGCTGCAGCCCCACTACCATTTTCTTCACAGACCATTCCTGCAGTTGTTTCCACACACACCACAAACGCCATCTCCCTTTACATTAAATCCCCTCCAACGCAGTCCCGATGCTCAGTTCCGTCTCAGCGTGGAAACATCAAAGCACAGCTCCAGCTCTGCAAGCTACAACCTCTCTCTGAACTCTGTCAGCTCCTTCCTCCAGACTCGCTCCCAGCCGGCTGTGCTGAAAGCCCTTCCTGGCTGCACTGGATTTCTTGTAGGAAGGTGCCATCCCGTGGCTAAACGCAAAACCCTCACTGCTTCTCTTCAGAGCTCCTTGCAGCTAAAGCCACCGTAAGCAATCGATAACAAATACAAAATACATCCTGAAAGACTCACACGTTTCATTGCATGGCAAGTTAAACGTTATTTACAGTACAGCTACAAGAAATTGTGCTGTGTAAGCCACAGTGAAGTGGCCAAGGCTATGCAGCTCCTCTTTGCAGCGCGAGACATCTACCCTTGTGACCAGGATCCAGAGTTTGGTGCAGGAGGTGAAAGCCACACAGCCTCATGCTGCTCCAGTGGTTTTTATTCACCGTTGACAGGAAATATCCTGGCCTTACATCTCCAAGTACCAAATCTATGATTAAAAGACTCAGCATACCTGTACTTCTCCCAATGAAAGTAGAACTAGAAGGCAAAATCCACCCATTTTACTCTTTGCATCAACTCGTGTTCCCAGCCTAACAGCTCAAATGTCAACTCCTCCTTCCATCAAAGAGCTTGTGTATGAACAGGCTTGATTCTTTGACATGACAGCTGCTTTCCAATCCAGTTATTATTGAACCAGACACAGAATCCAGCATCCAGCCCTCGAGGGCTCTCTGCTGCTGGGAACAGGCATTTCTGAAATCTCACCCAGAAATGCCTGACACTGCTAGGCTGTGGGCCACCATCCCTCACTGGCACAGCCTGCTCTCTCCTATTCCCCATCCCCTCTCTAGCTAGATCCCAGCTGCCAAAGCACATTACATGAGAACTGCATCCATCCCCCTGCTACCCAGCATAGCCAGGTTCCGCATGCTTGGATGCCTCTGCTCTAACCCAGACAGCGACTTGCAGACCAACCCCACCACCATCCACCCCCTTTGCTGCATGCAATGCCAGTCAGCCTGCCAGAAGACAGCCCTGAAGGGTGGCACATCTTCCTGGTGCACTGCATGCCCTGAAGTGAAGTCAACCTCCCTTTTACAGTTTCTCTCATTTAAATATTTCACCAAAACTATGAAAGTGAAGCAGCTATTGGAAGCCATGCGTTGCTTCCAGTCCACTCCACTCATCAGCCTGTAAAGGACCTGTACCAAAGCCAAAATTGCTGGAGTCTCATTGTGCTTCCCTCCAGGACCACCCCAACCCCGCAGTGACCCATTCCTTTAACCACTGCCCCAGCTTCCACCTCCTGGGCTCCTCGTGCACCACCTTCTTACTGATGGTGCCTCCACACTGACTGTCCTGGTTCCTCCAAGCTACAACTGCAGACACCTTAAATGTAACAGCAAAACAAAGCAGGAGATAAACACGTACTATAGGAGTTAATGGAGCTGCACTCTCCAGGGCTATGAATGCACAGAGGACAAGCTGCAGCACAATTTGCAGCTAACATACAGCTAGGTCTGTTCCTCCACTAAGAGGGCACACAGATATGCACATAATTCTAGAAGTGCAAGCTCAAGATACACATCTTCCTGTGAAAGAAGCTGGCATTCAGTCTTCTGACACATCCTCACTAAAAAAGTGATTCAGTTCAGGTGTGCTTTTATTTGATAGCACACTGCTTTCTGGATCTTGTATATGTGAACTGAGGTTTAAGTACAAAATCACAGCCAAAGCTATCCATTGCCCAACATTACTGCCTCTACATTAGAGATGTAGAAACAGTGAAAACTGAATCCACATCTAAGCCAGGACTACACAGCACTCCTACAAAACACGGAGGGAGCTTTATCTGAAGTGAAAACGTACCCTAGCTATGAAATACCTTCTACTTACTTATTAAAGACCAGGGAAATAAAGTTGATGTATTGAAAACAAAAACACAAGTACCACTCTTTAGCCATTTACTTCAAATCACACAGGATACCCACCTCTTCAGCTCTGGAGGGAGATGGCCACACAACAAACCAGGTGGTATGTTTGTTAGTCATATCATTTTCCAGAAATTCAACCACAAAAACACAGGGCCCCCAAAAGCACCAGACCTGGGGCAGCTAGTCCCCCTTCCTGCCATGCAACATTACCAGGCAGTCTTACCCATATTTAAGAGGACTCCATGTGTGCATCTATGTAGCATGAATGATTCCTCAGAGTGAATTTTCAAGACCTGATTTCAGTGGAAAAATAGTTGTGTTATCTTCAGGAATTGAAAGCCTAATGACTGCAGTGGGGTTTCAGTCATTAAAGCATGGTACAGCTGAGAACCAGAGGATCATTGGAAAAGAACTTATATTAATCTCTTTATTTTACATATATTTGCTTATAGGGCTTACCACATGAATTAGTCAGCAGCTGTGACTCAAAAAGCCATTATCTGAAAACTCAATGCTATGTATACAAAGAACTGCATCACTGATCAGGAAAGGTTAATAATTGTTTTGTAAATACAATTATTTAGCTTTGTTGTGTGCACCAAGGTTCTATTCAAATCTAGCATGTGAATTTTTATAATATTAACTGTAAAAAGAGCTTTCCATGTTCATTTTTATTTCGGAGCCTCATTTATCATGTTTTGACATAACTGAAAGCTCTGTTAAAAAAGAGATCTTGAGAAGTCTTTTCGGTTCAGGAGAAGAAACCAATACATCTCCCTCTTGTGGTCTTCTGTGTAAACAACTGTATTTGTGAGTGTCTAAAGTAGATTTTTCTATCAAATATCAACAGAAATTGCAAGTAATTTCACTCAGTATATGAAGCCTTCTTCCTAGAAAGAATGAGAGAGATACTGTTTTCACTTCACTTTTTATCTACATGGTATTTTCTTGCAGAAAAACCAGAGATTTCAAAGGCAGAACTGTCTCCTGTATGCCACCACTTGAAAGGAAATGGGAAAAAAAAAAACAAAACCGTTACAGAATGAAGTATATGAACAAACCTAACGATGGAGAAGATGTCAGATTTCTATAGGTAAGCGCTGTCCAGATGAACATATCAACTGCCATTCTAGCAAGTTCACACTTCAGTTTATACAATGCACATAATGATTTCTACCTTACAAGCCAATCTTACTCTTCAAAAACCATAGCAGATACGTAGGAACCCATGCTCACAACTTCCCATGTAATGACATTAACAAGTCTGACACAAACATAAAAAGAAATTTTGTGCCTTTATTGGAATGGTGTTAGGCTTTAAATACACCAATTTTGATAACCTGATTATTTGGTTTTAATTAGAAATGACACTACAGAACTGCAATACTGGTCCAAGTCTTGTCTTTTCTTTCTTTTTTTTTTTTTTTTTTGTTTAAGCAAGAGATAGAATGAAAACGCACCGAGTAATCAGAAAGCACTAGGCAGGCATCGGTTAATCCAAGATAGGAGCTTCTTAGTTCCAAAAGCACTCGCGTTGCATGGAACCCGGGATTTAGATTGGCTGTGATTTGCAACAGCTAGTTGCAGGAATCATGATGACTTTTTCTTTTTTTTTTTTTTTTTTTTTAATTTATTTTTCAAGATGGTCACTGGTAAATTCTTTTTTCCTCAAATATTACAGTTTCTTTAATCCGTTTTTTTTTTTTTCCCCCTCAAAGTATAAAAAAGTAAGAAATATAAACAAACTCCAGCTCTGTACCCATGAAAGGGTACAACTGAAGCATTAGAGAGCTGACTATCTATACACTGTCAAATCCCATCAAATCTTGGATAATTCATTAATATACAAAATATCAGGGCACAGAAAGAACTAAAATCCACTTTGTTACGCACAGATTCAAATAATCAATCTAAAGAAAAAACGTGATCATTTTGGCTTTCCACTACATCCGCATGTTGAGACACTTATTAAAATAACCTTATTTAATTGTGTTTGGTCTTTTCCTTATTGTCAAGTCATGTTTGTTATCTTAATACCGGCCATCAGACAAACAAGTAATCAGAAAGACTCCTCCCCTCCTCCGTATTCCTGACCCCTGCAAGGTCAGCTTTAAGACATAACTCCAAACACTGGGTTGTGACGACAGATGCTAGGACCAATTTCTTCATAATCTTTTTTGGTATGGCATACTTGGTAGAATTCAGGCTGTAAGCAGGAAGAGAAAGAAGATCAGTGGTGTTCATATCTCAGCTTAACAATACTAACATTTATATAGCAAATGGGAAAAGAAGCAAACTTCTAAGCCTTTCATTTGCTTTTTCAGATCTTTGAAGCCTAATGCAAAAGCCTAGGTGCAACAGGTAACATTTGTTACTCAAAAATCATCAGAAAATCCCAACTGCATTTATTATGAACTAAAGGAGAGATAAGAACTCCAAAAACACACGCAGGGCCCAGACAGATTCAGCTTTATAGCTAACTTACTGTGGAAGCCAGCATTGATCCTCCAAACCAAACTGCATATCTTTGCATATGGTGTGTAATGACTTGTACATCAATGGGCTTAGGCTGCAAAAGAAAAAAAAAAAAAGAATGTATTTAAATATATTTAATTCTCAGCATAGAAAAAAATCATTTCAAAGGACCTTATATTCCAAGTTTGCCTCTCACAAACTATCATTTTCCTAAATGCTGGGTATGTAAATATATGATAGTTTTTCAGTTGTACAACTCTGACTAAGAATGAAGTGGTGATTTCATAGCAACAGCTATTTATGTTATCAGATATTAAAAGATACTTGCATTCATGCTTGTTTTCTCCTAAGAGCTCTGCTCCAGTTCCTCCTGTCTGATTATCCACCTTCAGTTTTCTGCTTAATTTCCTCAAAGTACTGTTTTTCAATTGCAAAAAAAAAAACAAAAACCCCATACTACTTACTTTAAAAAAAAACCAACCACTTTATAGAAACATGTTTTTAAATTTGTCATGATTTTAACAACATATTATTTGCAGATTGATTAAAAAACGTAGCCATAGCCAATAAAATCATAGCTGTGCTCAGAATCACAACCTGAAGCCTGTCTTAGAAATAGAAATGAGAACATTACTGGAGCTAGGAAACTGTATAACAAACTTCAGATTTGTCTACATGGCATATTACAAAGATGCATTTAAAAATAGTATTGTTTGAACTTGTCTAGTTATTTCAATCATTAAAAATGAATGAGAAAATCCCTTCATTCTTGCCTTAAAATAATTTAAAAAAATTTAACCTGTTAGTGTCATTTATGTATCCTGAGTTAACAGAAAAAAATGCAAACAGCAGATCAGAGGTCAAAAATAGAAGGAACCCAAATTAAGGAGAGAGATTCTTGTTAAATGCATTAGCTACAAGAACTAACCTTCAGTCTGCCACCACTAAGTTCTTCACTAAGTTTCAGTCTGGCATCAACAGTTCTTTTCAAGTCTCGCTGTAAGCGGCGCCCAAAGTCCCTGAACATGGTTGAGCCTCCAGAGAGGACAATATTCTGTTTAGAGAAAAAATAAATACATTAATTTTTACATTGTATTAAATTTCTAAAAATACACATCTCCAGTTTTATCCAGTTCTTAAATTCTACAAATTTCCTAATTTCTTTTTTGTTGGCTTTTTCTTTTAAACAAATTTACAAACATCCAGGTGTGCTTTTACCCTGCTTTAAGTTATTTAACACCTGAAGCATGACAGATTATGAATTCTCAAAGAGGCTATCTTGTTAGAACTGTCTGTGATTTAAAATCCATTTATAGCTAAGCACACCTCACTTCTTTGGCTCAGATTATAATTTCCTTTGTTTCATTAAAGTTCCACTTGAGCAATGACACATCCCCTTCTGAAAAAAATTATGTGAACGTAAAGCCTTCTGCTTTCCAGAAAAATGGTTTACTTTCTACTTTTAAAATGCTTTCTTTCTTAATGCCGGCTTTCAACAGATTTCAACACAAACCCCCATCCTCCCAGAACAAGTACTACAGAAAAATATCACTCCAGCTACTGACCTTATACAGAGGACGTCTAACATCAATGGGACAATTCTGAATAACTTCATCTACTACTTCTGAGATTGGTTGCGTAAAGTCAGGATTAGCAAACTACAGTCAAGAACAAAAACAGCCACGTCAGCATGCAGAACCACATACAGCAAAGAAAGGAAGGTCAAAAATAAGGGGAAAAGAACAAACCACACTACTACATTGGGGCTGTAGTGAAAAAAAACTAATGGACTAGATACATTAGCTGTATTTGCTGCCATTTTCAGAAAGTTTGAAAGAATATTAAACTTGAAGTATCTGTTCTGTCAGCTATTCTCCTAAATAGCTTTTGTTAATCACAACAGGTCAAAGAATACAAGCCCTTCCAGATCACAAGCACTGAAGAAAAATACCATGACAGAAAAAAACAACTTTTTGATTGGAAGGAGTCAGTGCAGGGGATAGCTTTATGCTTAAGATTTCCCTACACAGGAACAGAGATTAACAACACCCAACATCTGGTATCTTTTCAGAAACAAAGAGAAATTTTAAACTCGCTTAAGCATTTCAATAATTTACAAATACTGCTTGTAGGGAATCATCTAAAACGCGCCTAGAATGAAGTAAACACAATTCATATCAATTTACCTCAGGATGGAAAAATATCTCTGGTCCCAGGAATCTCTCATAGCCAACATCAATGGTAAATTCTTTCTTTGAGATAGCATTAATTCCAGTATACTGTTTAATCCACTTTGTACCATCTGTGTCATACTTGTTAAATTCTTTTACTAAGTCAGGGCAAACGTAACTAAAACGTTCCTGAAAAGTAAATATGTACAGTTCCAAGGTCATACAGTGTTTTCTGCTATTCATTAAAAAAAGCATACTTTTAGAAGAATAGTAACTCTTTCTTAAAAGCTTTGAAATTGGCAAATACAGAATCTGCCTCAAAAACTGAACTGATATCTACTGCATACAGTCTGATGATGGCTCTGCTAGTAAAGATCATTTCTGTGTAGCACTGAAAGCAGCACATCCTGCTGGGTTAAGTTACTTTTTCCCCCTCCCTCCTCCCCCCCAATCTCTATAACATTAAGAAATGAGTTCTAAAGTATACTGCAGAATTGCCATAGAAACAATGCTTAAGCCTACTTGAAGCTGAATATCTTTCAAGATAGCTTTGTACTATAAAAAAGAACACATCAGTACTAAGCAAGAATAAGAGTAATTACACCTCTTTACATTACACATCCCACTAACAATACTTTCTACTAATATTACAATAATATTATAATAATGGGGGAGGGTCATGTGAAGACTGAATCCTGGGCAAAGGAGAATATAACTCAATAACACATCTTAAAATGTATGTGCTTACTGTTACGCAGATATTTTTATATTCATTAGAAACAGCAATGTTAGGTGGAAGGAAATGATTTTAAGCGACTGCTATCAAACTCAACTCTAGAACAGCTTTAACACTTGCAAAATTCACACTACCTTCACTGCTTTAGCTGTTTCCAAGGATTGCTCAGGAGGAATTCCTACTTCTCGCTCTCGCAGCAGCTGCTGAATGAAGTATGTTATATCTCGCCCTGCAATTGGAATGTGTTTGATACAGCTGCCAATCACGTATCCTTCGGCCTGTAAATAAAATTAATTGGGAGAAAGACATTGGTAAGCATTCCTTCCAACAAAGATTAGAAACGAGGGGGAGTCACAGAGTGTCAACTCCTATTCACTACCTGCGATCATGAGATTCAAGCCTTTAAAAGCTGGCTCTTAAATACCTGAAGCCCACTTCTCAGGAGGCCTTACATCACTCGGTGAAGTGTTTTGCTTTGCATTTAGTTCATAATTATTAAAAGGTTAGAAGGAAAAGAAAGGTCACTGACACATAAGACAGACAGATTGCTATACTCACTATTCCTTGGCATTTATTTTCTCTTTAAAATGAGGGTGCTCTTACCAAAAAGGTCAAGGAGCCATATAGCATGCAGCATTACTTTAGAATAAATGATGTGGCTCCATAGTCACAGTCATGATACAACTCACGTGAACCAAGATTAATTTTCTGTGAGCAAAGGGAAAACGCATCATTTGAGCCCATTAACTGAGATGGCTTATAGCATCAGGCTGGCACAAACTCATCCATCAGTCTACCCTTACAAGTCATACTCATCCTAGAGGACAGTACTGGGACACTGAAAATATCCAGTCTAAATGCAGAAACCAGAAGCATTCAAAAAACTCCGCAACACATGAAAAGTTCAATGTAAATTCGTACTATTGTCAGTACAATGCTAAAAAACAGCTAAACAAGCTTTGAAATCCCAAATTGTTTTGTAAGGCTTATTAAAAACATGCCATCTCACGCTTTACCACCGTGAGAATAAGAATCATTAAGAAATATCTACATTACAGCATAATTTTAATCACAATCTAAACTATATTTTGGTATAACAAATAAAAAACCACCTCAGGTTACTGCAGCATGATAATGCTTTAGAATTTTTACAGACTAAAATCTATGCAATCTAGCTCCATTTTTCTAACAAAAATGGTGCCCAGATTTACATTTACATCCTCAATGAAAGATGGGCACTGGAAATAAAAGAACACTATCGAATGCTGCCATTATAAAATTTCTAATTCCTTTTGCAAAAGGAAACACACACTTACCATAAGAACAATAATTTGTCAGTTAAACTACAGATGTATATGTTAAAGTAAACGATCACACTAATTTCTGGTTTTGAAAACAATATATTGAAACAGATATTCAACATTATCTTTTTTTTTTTATTATTCAGGTAGGAAATGACACAGAGGGAGAAAAACTGGAAACAATAAGATACTTAAAAGCAGATGTAACATTTTATTATAAGCTGACAGAATTAAACAGCAGCTTCCAAACTTTTTGGTCTGACTATTGCAAAGAGCACACTGACTCTTATGAGCAGAAGAGGCTGCAAATATGATAAGGCAATGTGATTTCACTGATCATTTAGCACAGCCTTACAAGTTATCTTTCAGGATCAGTCAATTGAAAAAAATACACTCTGGCTAGTTCAGAGTGGGGAAAAGTTCTTCCAAGTGTTCCTGTGGCACAAAATAAGCAACAAAAACCCCACACCTCCAACCCTGGGAACTGTCTGACACTTCTCACGATTCCTAGCCATATTAAGACTGTATGAATGAAAACTTCAGAGAAGTTGAAGGACAAACTGCTCTCCTGTTGTTTCCATAGCTTTTAAGTATACTTACCACAGGAATGACATGAGTGACACCATCACCACTGTCTATAACTGTGCCAGTCAGTGTCCGTTCTCCTACTTGTCTTGACGTCCAAGATGCAGCTAAGGCAAGGACAGCCTTGTAAAAAGAGAACACAGAAAGTGATTCTTAGTAAAAACACTGCACTGCAGATGTCACAGCTTCCAACGTTGCCTTCTGATAAGCCCCAGCTAATGAGCATTCCAGGCATTTGAAAATGTTTTATTTTACATTAAAAAGTACTTTCTTCCTCTTATCTCCAAGTTACAAATTTCCAGTTCAAGTGTGATTCTTGGCTGTTCTGCAGGTTATGAACAAACATCTCCCAGAATTACATTACCCTTTCATATCTAAAATCCACTGGAACAAAATAAGTGCCTTCTTAGGACAGCCTGAAGTATTTTAGCATGTGTTTCAACAGGAAAAACCTTCGTCTGAAGTCTTGTTTACCAAACAGGTTCCATTAGTCTGCTTTCAATTTTTTCCCCTGTTGACGGAAACTCCCTCTTAGCAGTTGCTAGTGAAAAGTGTTTGAAATTCTCTTGTGGTAAGGAAAACTAATTTTGTAATGTGTGTATACAATAGTTTTCAAACAAACAACTGCAGAAGCATAGCTTTTGCCTTCTTTTGCCTTCTGATGCTTTTTAAGCATGTCCAAAATGAAGACCATTTTTAGCTACTTCATCTTGAAAGGGACACAGCATTTAGCCTACTACCACAGTTGTAGGGGGCTTTGTTTGTGCAGTAAGAGCTCTTACTCTATACCTAGAGCTGAGTAACATACCTAGATAAACATCTAGCAGTGGAAATGGTGACCAAAAGCACATAAGAATGCTCCAAGAGTCACTCAAGATTTTAAATAGTTCTGCTCTTACCTGAACAGCAATATATAGTCCCGGAACATTGAAAGACTCAAACATGATTTCAGCAGTATATTCCCTATTTTCTGGAGTATTTAATGGAGGTTCAGTCTATGAAATAAAGAAAGACATTTTACTTGCATTCAAATTAAACACTTCAACTTCTCTCAAAAATCACCTAGAGCTAAGTTTTGAAAGATGAGTCATTCAAGAACAGCATGTAAAAATAGTCAAGTGCAAAGGGTGCTGTTAAATGCAAATGGTGTAATGAAGAAAACCAAGGAACACCCATGACACGAACAGAATTATTACAAGTCACACTGTAAAAGCACAATGATTTGAATGCAAACAAAAAGCAGAAATGAGAAACATTAAAATAATTACTGTTTAAGAATTTACATCGGTGGTCCCATTTATGGCTTGGTCAGCTTATTATAATACATGCTTTCACAAAGAATCAAAGACTATAAACCTAAGTATGTCAAATGCAAGGCTTCAGTACATAAAGTACAGATATGAAAGAAAAATCAGAAATTCACTGAAGAAAAAAAAGCTATTTTTCTTCAAGAGGCAATGATTATAAAACAGAAGTTTATAACTGAAATGTGCTTAACAGAGCAATTGACAACAGCACACAACGCTATAACATACTGTAGATTTTGTAAAAGTACCATACATATTAGCAGCCCTCTCCTCTAAAAGAGCATTTTGAACAGTACTCTGAGAAAAAGCATCTATCTTTTGTTGCATCAACCACATAAGTGTAAAGACAGGAGAGAGTCAGACTCTTTATAAAGGTGGCACAACAGGAGGTCACAGAGACCAACAGCCACATGGGAAACTATCAGGAGGGAAAAAAAAAGGCAGCATGAGAGTTGGTGAAGCAGTGGGAGAAGAGCCCACATTATGGCACTTCAACCCCTGGAGACAATCAAAGCTTGGATGAAGGGCCCTGAGCAACTAGATCTAATTACATCTTCAAGAGTGCAATTGTATTAGAGTTTCTACAAGAACAACCAATGCACTCAGTTCCAAACTTATGCTATAAAATTCAAACTTAAGAGTACTGTTATTTCAATGGCTTTAAATGAAATGCTAAGGAACAGGAGAGGCTTCAGAATATCTGATCTCAATTCAAACCTGATATGTCCGTGTACCACAATCAATCCTTCAGAATTTCATAAAGAAATGACACGAAATTTCACCCTAGATACACTATCCAGGTGACAGTACTATAAAAACAAAATTCTTGCAATTACATGAACTCAAAACCTAGAGATGCTCAATGCAAGCACCACTGCTGAGTTCAGTGCATAAATAATAGAGGGAGAAGACAGAAGTGCGTTGGTGTGAAAGAAAGCTTGCAGTTGAGACTCAATGGCCTTCAGCATTTTCAGAAAGTTAAAGAAATGTAAATGTGATAAGCCAAGCTAGGAAATTTTGTGTAATTTATATTTCCTTTATTTTTCAAGATAAGCACATTTGTATTTGAGAATTGTTCCACAAATCAGCACAAAACCCTTGTCATATACTATTTCACAGGCACAAAATAATTTTACCTACCAAAAGAAAATAATGGTCCTCGGGTTCTGCCCTTAAATACTTAAAGATTACTTGCTCCATAAACCTTTCCATCAGGTCCCAGTCTTCAACTATACCATGGCGGATGGGCCACTGTTACAGAACAATAACAAAGTGTAACTGAAAACAAACTTAAAAAACAATGTTTTCAATTGCATTAGAGGTACATTATCAACACCTAAAAACCTTGCATTAGGTTGTCCCTATCCCAACCTGACATCTATTTGAAATTCTGATCTTGAAAAAACAATATGTTAAGTGTTTCTCAGTACAACAGAATGGTGGTACCAGGAATAGTGGTACGAGGACAAACCATGGGCCAGTATCCTGATTCTGAATGGCTGATAGATTCTTTCTTGTTCCTTGAGATGTTCTATCTCCTCCTAACACTCTCTCAGCCACTCATCAATTCAAAAGAAATACGTTGCTATGAAATACTGTGGGATCCCTCCCCCAGTTCCCACAAACTCTTGAAGGTCAGCAAAACTGATTTAATATCAAACGTTTACAATAGTTTATAAGAAAATAAAACTACAATTCAAAAAGCATTTTACAAGCTTTTTATTGTATGCTTGACGATTTCTAAGAGTAGTGGAAAATCCAAATGTCGCTCAGTACCTTGGTTGCATAAGTTGGTTTTTCTATTGCTTCATCTCCAATAAAGAAGTCTAAATCATCAACACCTTTCAAAACCCTTCGTTGTGCCTGATCAACCACTTTTGCTGATTCTTTGATAGCAATACCTTTAACAAAGAAAACAAATGGTATTTTAGATTATACATTCAGCACTGAGAAAAAAAGGAATCTTAGCATTGTGAAATAGGAAAATACTGCAATTATATTCATCTTTGGCTCTGGCATAAGCACAGAAAAGCTGATACACTAATAATTTATAGTATAAATCTTTCACTTCAAGGAATAACTGGCAAAAGTTAAGAGATAGCACCTTGGTAATTTATTCTTCCACAATAATTACTCATTGCAAATAAAGAAAAAAAAAACAAAACAGAAATACTGGGAAGACTAAACATGGGACCTAGGGAAGATGGATCAGTGATGAAATACCACAAGAACACAGACGACTTTTTCTCTCCTCTTTTACATCAACTCCCAGACTACCAGGGTCACAGCGCCAGCAAAACCTACTGTATTTTTTCCAAGCATTAAAATACAAGTGGGAAATTTGCAGAAATAAGAACCAAGCATTAATGTCAGCCCCTTTACTTAAAAGTTGTCCTCTGAAAACTCTCTCAAATGCAAAACTCTTTCAATCCTCACCTTTACCTAAGTGCTGTTTGATCAGAACCAAGACAAGCTCACAGAGCCTGCGGTCACACACAGCTACAGGATTTGGAAACGTGTAGCACGTGAGGCTAATGCACCCCAGTGCACTGGGAAGCCACATTCTTCTCCCCTTTTCTCCCTTCTGTGCAGCAACAGAAGAGCTGTGCAGCCAGTGAAACTGAAGCGTTGCAGAAAACTGAACAAAATATGACAAAAGGCATTATTTTGAGCTCCTCAGGAGGAAAACTGCATCATACCACAACTTCTGTAGCAGCTTACAGGAGAGGAAAGAGGAAGCAAGAGGGTGGGAGCCAAAAAGCAGAGGGGTAGGTAAGTAGAAGCTGAATTTGTGCAGGGGATGTTGCAAGGCCAGTGTTTGCTGCAAGCAAAAACAGCATCTTGCCAAATATTTTTCAGGGCTTGCAGACTCGGGGACAGCTTTGCTGTCCAGATGTATGTTAACTTCACGTGGTTTCAAGTAAGTCATCAGCACTTGCCACAGCATTCTGAAAGCTTTCACATCCCACGGGCTTCAGCCTGCTGCAGTCTGAGAGATCTCAACACACAGCTGGTCAGTGCTGGTTATGCAAATCAGAAGTGAGAAGTTAATAACCAGAATCGAGAACTACAGCATGAAAACACAAACAGGAACATAAACCTTGCTTTAACGGTGCTGAAGGTAGGCAGCACTCCAACATTACTGTAGGGCCTTTGGCACTGGCTGGCTTGGCACAATAATATGAACATTCAGGAAAAAAATAATTTTCATGTTTAGCTACTATTCAGTCATTTCCCCCCTTTTTAATATAAAGAAAGAGTCATCTAGTACGTCAATTATCATAGACAATTTCAAATGTATAATAAATTTGGAGAACTCCTGGCTTACTGAAAGCTGACTATTTTAAAACAGGTCAGGATAACAGGATGAAATGAAAGAAAAAATCAAGCAAGACAAATAATCTGCTAGATCTTAAAAGCAGACAGCAATGAAAACACTGAACAAGTTTCCTCAAAGAACTGACCCATTGCATTCCCACTTCATTTTTTATGCAAGCATTTGTCATCTCTACAGAAGCATATTCAGAACTAAGCCAAAACCACGATAAAAAAGAGCGAGATAAAACTTTGTTAAGAACAGGAGTGAGTAAGATAAGCAGCAAGTGAGCAAGGGTGAAGGAATGCTGCTCCGACTGGTTCCACAGCAAGAAGTTTTTGAGAAGAAAAACAAAATGACCACATGCCCATTCCTGGAAATCAAAGATGAAACCAAAACACATCTTAACTGAATTATATTAAGAAAACATTACGACATCAGAGCACCTTAACAAGATCCAGCATTTTGTAACATTTGAAGATAATTGCTGTTATATTTCCAATTTCTCTAATGTGAAGAAAATCTTTCTGTGAAAACCACTTTTGGAAGCGTGTTCTGTACCCACCCAGAGAGCCTGAACTACCAGAAGCTCTTTTCTGAACTGACTGCACTTAAGTGTTGTTACTTCCAGCTCCTTTCCTGTTGTATTTACAAGGAAAATTGGGTGCACTGATTATTTTTTTTAATCAGGATGTAATACTTGAGTACTTTGGCTGAGGTGAACAACAACAAAATGCCAAGTAGTGTAGAAGGTCACTTCTTTCACTTACATGAAGCATTTCTAAAGAAAACTGATTGAGCTCCACTCTCCAGACTGGAGCCACATCCCTTCAAGTGGCAGAAGCATTTCAGAAAACAGTGAGTAAATAAGCAGTTTTACATAAAATAAGTAAAATTACTTCTACATCTGCAAAATAATGAATGAACTAGCACAGCTGTGGTACTGAGATATACCTGGAAAGTGTAACAGCTAAAACCCCAGAGATTAAAATACTGTATTTTTTTAATAATTATTTTTCACTGGTTACGATCACCTGAAGTGTTTTCTGATCTATCAGCAGAGGAAGAACCTGCTAACAACAAATATAGCTGTGCTACTGTTTCACATTTGAATTCAACTTCCTAAGAGACTGAAATTATATTACTACACTATTTTAATGAATTTATCTTCTTAAATTGAGAATCGGTTACAAAAAGCAAAAGATCTGAAAAGACCTCTGAGCAATGACAATTTGCTCGTTACTAACTGCTCCTTTGTTATGCAGATGCCATTGTAAAAAAAAAAAAAAAAAAAAAAAAAAAAAAAAATCACTGAACTGTTAAGTATAACATCAGTATTTAAACACGAGTAACAAATACTTACAGGAAGGAATAATAAACTGTGGCTCAGTGTTACCGGCATATCCGAGCTTCGTATACCTGTTAAGGCAAGAAAAGCTTAGGTTATAATATTTAATATCACAAACAAAGATAAGTCTTTTAAAAAAAGAAGGGAAATGTGATCATTTTAATGTGGAAAGAGGTGTGTTCACCAAAAGCATTTTTGAGAGGTAAAGCAATGCTTTGAGTTCTACTCAAGTGGAATTACACTACTAAACACCAAGTACATCATTCAGTTTATCAATGCTTAGGAGAAGAATACTGAAGTGATTGTTCCTGCCTGCTCAGCCATCAGTAGGTCCATCCAGCGTATTTCCATACAAATAATGTGAGCTGTAGAAGCATACAGAAAAATCCCCCTTGCCCGTGGGCCACCAGCCAGGTGTGGTGCAGGACTGGCACCGCTCACACACAGAAAGCAAGAGAACAGCTACAGAGCTCTACCCACTGCACTGCCAGAATGTACTATGACAAATGATATACCTATCCATAACCAAATACAAAAACTGACAAGATTACCAATTAAAAAAAGACTACTAAATTTACTGTACCAAACCTATCCAGCTGCTGGAAGCATTACAAAAGACTGGAGCAACACAGATTCCAAAACGTGCAAAGCAAGGAACACATCGAATTTCGGCAACAGCCTGCATAGAAGTACAAAAGACCTAACAGAGACTGCAGTTTCTTTATATTGATGGGTAGTTGCACCAACACAGTCAGCAAAAGCAAGGAGCACTACAGCAGTACCTCTGTAATTCTCAGAAATGGAATACAAACCTTGGCAGACCTTAGGCAACACAGGGCAGCAGTAACTTTAATAACCCAGAAATCTGTGTCAACACTACATCAAAGCAGTAGGCAACGGCTATAGTAACAGGTTGGGTTTTCCCAGGCAAGAGGAGCTTCACAGGTTGCTCACGTTCCCAAACACCTACACAGTTTCTACTGCTGACAGTAACTGTGCACATCAGTGCAGGACCAGAAGTGCTATTCTAAAGACAGGATCAGGTGCTTAAACAGGACCTCATCTGAAATGAAAAGCACTTTCAAGAGAAATGTTTTAAGAACTACAAAAACCATCTTCTCTGTGACCTGCTAACAGGTTATCGAATCAACAGAATATCTCAAGTTGGAAGGGACTGAATTCACTCCTGCAAAAAGTTTGGTGTCAAACTGACCAACAGTAACTCGCACTGAACAAGGAAAGTCAAAATACAGTACCTAATGGAAGTGAGTTAAACACCAAATAGAAACATACACTTCATGCAGAGATCAGCACTACGTACTGCTGAACTTGGGATAGGCAACTCACCCTTTGCAGACTCAAGTAATATGAAAACCATTTTTGCAATCTGTCTTAGCCTTTAGTTCCTAAAGGAAATCTCAAGTAAGAATTCCTGAATTTGATGCTTCTATAACCATCAATGCAGAATAAAGCTTTCAGTTCTGAAAGAAAATGAAGAAGGCCAGCAAATACTGACTCACTCCCCCCACCTTGCCATGCATACCAGGAACTGCAGCACACAGGATGTTAAAGCTAACCTTGCAGAGGAACTTTGGACCCTGAAGGCTACATACGCCTCCCACTAAATCAGAAGTGCCTTCACAAGCAAAGAGAAATTTCACTGTTGGGCTGTTAAAGTTCATCTTTCAAAGCAAAGAAAAGCTGATCTGTTGCAGGTAATGTACTGTTTGGTTGCTTGTGGTGTTGGAAACCACCCAGCATACACACATCCAGCGAGCCAAAAACAGTCAAGCTGCATTTTTAAATAAAAAGACTCTATTCAGACATGAAATCAGCACATCTAAAAATAGTATGGCCTACTCAGCAGAAAAAAAAAAAAAGTCTTCTGACACACGGGAAGAAGTTTCCCATTTTTAGATTTCCAAATAAGGAGAAAAAATACAAAGAAGAAAACCACATGGATTCTGGTGTCTGAATACAAAGCATTAGTGCAGCAGCTCTCCAATGTAGCTACCAGTGCAATGGTTCACATTTCCAGTACACGACAGCCTCCTTGCCAGGCTATTCCCTGCAGCAGGATGTCAGCATCACCCAGCACAGGTCAGGGCAGTAACCCGGCCTCCCCCTCTGCTCCTTGAGGCATTTCCCTGCCTGCAGTGATTGGTGCCACTGGGCTCTGCACAGTGCCAGGGCTGCCGTGGGCAGGGTAATGCACCAAGTGAACAGCGAGCTTCAGCAGCACATCACCACGTCCACACACACTCAAGTTTCAATGAGGTTAGAAGTTTAAAAATATATAGAAGTGAATACAAATCCTCAGCTTTCTGAATATATAGTCTAATAAAAGCTTTCTTTAACTTGCTTTGGCAAAAAAAAGAGTACTGCTCAGATTGATCTGATCTATTCTACTGTTCCCATTTGAAGTAAACTGCTTTTAAATCACACAGAAAAAGCAGCAGTACCTTGGGCAAGCTGGCTTTTACAATATATGACTTCCACAAAGCAGCTCACACACAGCAACATGTGTCTGAGTAATGGATGATTCACAGGGGAACAAGGCACACCCTGTCTTAGACCGAAGAAATGCTGATATTAGGATTGATAAGGCAGTACCAACTGGGGATCACATTTCCCAGCATGTCACAGCTTTGCTTGTTGCTGCATGCACCACAAAGGCAACAGGAGCATCTTCCATGAAGGAAGGCAGACAGGTGGTCACAAGATATAACTCAGTTTTCCAACACTGAATTGGAGGCACTGAAGCAGTAGAAGAGGAAAGCACTGTGCAGCTTCATACAGAACACAAGTTAGTCATGCAGATTTGTATTAAAGTCTGCAGCAGAACTGATTGACAAGATCCCCAAGGCGAAAACTTGCATCCAACCTTCACAGTAAAGGTGGTTTCCTTTCTGACCATTTCTCCATCTGAAATGCTGAACACATTTTTGTGGGGGGGATATTCACCCCTCAAAAAGGGGAAGTTAACGAAGGCTCCTCCACACTTTGCTAATCTGCAGCTCACCATCAACACAGGAGCATCTGTACAGTGCCACTCACCTCAAATTCACACCCTGGCATTAGAAAGGGGATCTGTGCTAATCTGCAGGAGATTGCTGAAGGGGCAGACACAAGGCTCTTCACAAAGCTCTCTGCTGCACCAATGTGATCTCTCTCATTCCTGCTCTCTCACCTAGAATGGACATCTCTAAGACTATGACACGAAAGCAGAAAGTTCACTTGAATGTTACTTACCTACCAGTAATGCAGATAACTTTAAAGTTGAAAGGAAATAACACTTAGAGCAAAAGCTTCAAGTAAGAATGTCATTAAAAAGCCTCTTGTCTGCAAGCCATGACCGCGTGCCTTTTCTCTATTTTTTTCCAGTCTGCAATAAATGTCATTTTGCTTATATCCACCCAAATTAAACACCCTAATTCTACCACAACTGCAGTTCTAACAAAAGGCCAAGGAATTTGGGGATGACTGTTTTGCTGGATAATGTATCTGTCCTGTATTCTGAGAATTACATGAGGCACAGCAGCCCAACACAAGCCATATCCTACTAATTTTGCAGACAGCCCTTTGCTAAAACACAGATAGTCAAGTGCAGGCAGAGAGGAAGTACAGTCAGAGCTCTGATCTCTCCTCAATGGATGCTTAATTATTTTATTCCAGCATAGCACAGACATGCATACCACAGAGACACGTTAGTTTTTGCAAGATGCAGCCCATGTGAATTTTGCAAATGCTACTGTGCCAGCAAGAGCAGCAATGATCACTGTGTGTTACCCAGTGCACAGGACAACAACCTAGCCACATAAAAGAAACACACTGAATGGTTTAAAAGAAGCCATTCCCCTATAATATTTGAAACTTGATATAGATAATGAAGATCCTGAGTTCCAAGACTGGGGTTAAACCAAACTGCTTTCCTCCAGTTTGAAGCCAGATGCTCAAGACTCCAGTGCTCCCGCTGTCCTTCCTGGCCAATCGCCACTGACCCCAGCAGCTTCTCTGATCCCTGGGCTGACCTCAGTCTCATTCCCAGCACTAAGGCTACTTCATGGATCCAACCCCAGGAACATAACTGAGAAATCAGTTGCATGGGATCATTTCTTAGAACAACCAAGAACAAAGAGAAGCTCCCAGCCAACAGGGGCTCAGTTACGTAAACACTGAACAGTGAATAATAATATCAAGTCTGTTGCCTTTACACTTGAACTGCCTTCACTAGCACAGCCTGCTGATCTTCTACTTAAAACCCAGCCTAATAGCCTCAGAAGATAAGGCAATTCTAAAGGGACACACACATGCTATATTTTCAAAAGGGAATGAAATACATCAAATGGCCAAGTGCTAAGTTTTTACCAAAAAGGAAAGGGATTCTGGCTGTCAGTCTGCAGCTCCTTATAGTCTGCTCATGCAACCCAGCAAGCTGTTGCCTCCTGGTAACTACAAGAAACACGTGGGGTCCCACACTGCTGAAGCAGGAATGCTGCACATCAAAACAAATAAATCACAAGGGTAACAATTTCAGCAAAACCAACTAAATATCCTTTCCTGTTTTAACTGGTACACTGTCACAGTTTATAAGTTATTAGCTGTCTTGTGCCTTCCGATAAAAAGCTGACTTCAAAAAGCAAAAAACTTTTTGAGGAAGGATGAATCCTGAGCTTTTATACACAACGCCTCACCTGACTGGAAAGCCTGAACAAGCCTTTGCAGTTTTATTTGCTGCTTTTCTTCTTTTATCCTTCTCGAAATCCAGATGAGACTGAAAAATCTGGGAAGCAATTATTTCCTGAGCCCCCATGGAGAGAAATGACAGGAAATAGATGGTGAAGCAAAGGAAAGCCATCCTGCTCCTTTAAAAAAGCTCCAGCACCAGGTGCAAATTGCTTAAGCAGCAGCAGATCACCAGCAGTCCCCGAAGGAACTGATTATATTAGGAAAATGGGACTTGCATTAATAAGTTAGTATACTATCTCTTTTCAAGTGTCCTTGGTAAAGCACAAGATAGCAAAAGTCTTTGGAATGAGTCATGCCCTTCACACCACTTTATATCTTCAGT